ATAACAAAAAAGCCATATTCGATTTTCCATCCTTCGCGTTTCATCTGAAGAAAAATGCTGCTGAAGCCATTGCAATGATTTGTGCTGCATATGGAGAGAACGCTGTAAGTCATACTACATGTAAAAAATGGTATCAAAAATTTCGCCAAAGAGATTTCAGTCTTGAAGATGAATCGCGTGCTGGACGCCCTCAAAAGATTGAAACGGACGAATTGCAAGCACTGCTGAATATAAACTCTACGCAAACTGAAAAGGAGCTTGCAGAACAACTTACTGCGTTACGCAGCGAACCATTTTCGTACGTTTACATACGATGGGAAAAGTTCAAAAGGAAGGCAGATGGGTTCCGCATGAATTGTTCGAAGACAATAAAGATCGTCGGCGTGACACTGCACTCACTTTGCTTTCAAAATTCCGGAAAAAAGATTTTTTGCACAAAATCATTACAGGCGATGAAAAATGGATTCTTTATGATAACCCTAAACGTAGAAAATCATGAATTGACCCTAGTCAACTTTCGACATCGCCCAATATCCACGCCAAGAAGGTTTTACTCTGTATTTGGTGGGATTAGAAAGGTGTGTTGTATTACAACTTGTTACAATCGGGTGAAACAATCACGGCAGACCGCTACCAACAACAATTTGAGCGATGCATTAGAAGAAAAGAGGCCATTTACTGACTAAGGACGTAAAGTGATCTTGCTTCATGACAATGCTCGACCACATGTTGCGAAAGCGACTCAGGACCATATCTTTGCGTTAGGCTGGGAACTTCTCCCGCACGCGTATAGCCTAGACATCGCCTTCCGATTATTACCTATTCCGGTCGCTGCAGCATCATTTGGCTGATACACATTTCGTGAGATTTGAAGAGATACAAAAATGCATTGATGACTTTATCGCTTCGAAGCCGGTGAGTTTCTATCATCAAGGAATTCGCAAACTACCCGAAAGATGGCAAAAGGTCGTTGATGCAAACGGGGAATATTTCGCTGATTAATATTTTTTTGTTTGTTTTTGAATAAAGATTGAATTTTACAAAAAAAAGCTCAGAACTTTTTTGTACACCTAATACATTCTTTCTTATTTGATATTGATTCGGCTAAATTCAATGTTGGGTAGTGTTAATCCCGCATCTAGTATTAACCTACTACAGCCGAACATCGCCTATTCCATCCAGGCTACAATCAGCAAATGGAGGCTTTCGCTGATTTCATTCAAAAACTTGTGCTAATATCAGCAAATTTTAAATTATTATTTTTATTCCGACAACATATTATTCTTCATAAGCAATTTAAACTTAGTGAATATCGTTATTAATTGTATTGCGTTGTTTTAATTCAAATCACATATCTACTTTATATTTCGTTTATTTATTGATACCTGTTATAAAATCCGGGCGCGATTTAATTATTTAGAGCTAAAGTCATTTTCCGTCTGATAACTTCTGAGTATACTACTAGTGTACACCTGCAGATAAACCTTTACACATAGTTAAATGCATTATTCTGTGTTAAATGATCGTTTTCTCTTTTATTCTTTTTATTTTTTATTTTTACTTTACTTTTAAACCTTCGATTAATAATACGTTAATAATACATTTGATTGTGTTTTAAATCTTTTCTTTTCTTTATTATTTTGTATTACATTTTGTATTACATCGATTAATCTCTTGATTAAATGTTTATTATCAAGTATTGTTATTTATAAAAACCTCGCCTATCCATCCGCACGTACTCTTCAAAGATCGTTTAAGACTTTGTCCCTGATAATATAAATTAAGTTCTTTTAAGTGAAAAATTGATGGATGTACATCTCATGAGAAATCATAGCGCTTCATAGCGAGATATCAATCCATATTTTAAATGCGTCTGTCTCGCGTCTCTTAAATATATACCTGCTATGATTATCTTTATTTCTTTTTATATTTATTTCTTTCGGGATTTGAATATAGAAAAATGTCACTTGTCAAAAAATTAGTTCAAAAAAGATGTTTGCTATTTTTTCATATTTATTTTAATTAATTAATCGCTTTCATATAAATATTACATTTGCTTTAATATTGTCATTTCACATTCATGAGGAGTTTGTTGAATATTGTCAACGAATAAATACTCCTTTAATGAAGCAATAATTATAATTTTTAAATGTAATAATTTTTAAATTATCAAATATTGAAAGAAATTATGGATTTGTGATTTTATTTTTTCTAATTATGCTGTGAATATAAACTTTATAATAAGTTTCTTAAATTCTACAAGTCCTTTAAAATGTGATTATCATCTCGAATTGGATACACATAAATGATAGAAAAAAGAAAGATAAGATGTCGAAGTATTTTCTCAGCTAATAAAACAAATAAAAAGCCGGTGCCAAATTTATTAAAAGTTTTTAATAATAGATAATTTACTATCTTTATCTGTCAATAGATATAACGAAATATATTTTGAATATAGCAGAAATTTTGTAATATTTCTTTATAAGAAATTACAATTATAGTTAGTATATTTCCATTTTTTCTACAAGATTAAATTTATTTTTTATTTTAATTCTATTCTTAGCGCTACTTCCAGGAACAACAACATGGACATAAATAATTTTCCGTTCCCTTTGATAACTGATTAAAGTGCATTTCCCTTGCCTTTCACGATGGAGTGCTTGATTGAAATGAGGCAAGATTTCCCTTGCTTCTCACAATAGGACTTTGTTGACATGAATTTTTTTTTCGAATACATAACATAATTTTTTGCTGATTATGTGTGAAAATTTGATAGTTTATAACAATATTAAACAACATATGACATTTGAGTATGCGTATTTGGTATGGCTTCTCTTTATCTTTATCAATTTATACACAAATGTTTTTAACAAAAATAACATGTTTCTCTTATTAATATCTTCGTTCATTACACGCCAGGTAGTCACAACAGCAATAAAATATATAATCATGATACAAAATTTATGCGCAAAAATTACAATGCATTAAAATGCCGCAGATAACGCGGTGTGAATTACAATAAAAAAATTACATTGCTCATGTTAATGTGTTATTATGGCATGTGTATTTTTTATGTGTTTTTAGACACGCATAGGTCGTGGCTGTTATATCGATCCATATGATCGGTTATTCAGTATTCGGCTTGTTAGTGATGCATGACTAGCGAGACACGGACAGTGAACACGTGTTCATAAACACGAACATATTTGACAAGAGAGGAATCTATAAAAGATAATAGTTGGATGTTTAATAAAAGAAAATAAAGCAATTATAAAATTACAGAATCTGGCAGAGATAGAGAGTGCTCTATTCTTTTTGTCTGCAAAATGCTGAGATAAGCGGATGGCACTAACAGTACATTTTACCGGTTGAAAATCAGGTATGTTTAATCTCTACATTATAATTATAATCTGACTGAACGAGGAAGAGCGTGAGGTTGTAAACATACTAATGGCAAGGGACCTAGAAGTATAAAAACAAATACAACATAACAAAATCCAGGATTCGAAATATGGGAAAAGATATAAAGAACTATGTACGATATAAAGAACTATGTTAGGGATATTTAAGGAATATAAAGGTATAAAGGTAGAAAGATATAAAGTTATAAAGATTTTTACAGAATTATTGCGAGCTTTAGATGCGGAAACGAAGAATTAATAATAGATACTGACGCGAACAGGATAAGAACGTATGTAGGCTGTGTCATATTGAGGTTGAAACATTAAAACATTTAGTGACAAAATGTATAGTAGAGAAGAGAGAAATTACACAAGAATAAATCAGCTGCTAGGAGAAAAGAGGGAAGGAATCAGTTGGATGAAGAAAATCATAAAAGCAAGGAAAGAGAACAAATCCAAAGA